AAAAAAAAATACGTAATGCGGGCATTATGAGATAAATTGAAAATAACAACATCTAAATATTAATATAAATATAGAAAATCTATAAAATGCTAAAATTTGTTAAACGTCAAAATCTAAAACAGCTCTCAAAAGCCCTTAAAAGCTCTGTCTGGGTCTGAATAGGGTTAATAGAAGATTTATTGTATCGCAAATTGACAATTTCAAGCCACAAACGCTTTTGTGCAAGTGATAGCTATACAAACAATGATGTGGAGATGAATGTTTCTAATACTATGTTTTTAAAGCTTTTAAAACATTTGTTTCTGTACTTTATAAACAGGTACCCTTTCTAATGCAACCGCTGGTTATCGTGCCTGTAGATGCCTTGACAATTTTTATCGTCTAGATCGTTTTGGAGGGTGCTTGCCATGCCCCGAAACCGGTGTGGTATGCAAGAATGACACGGCGATATTGGCGCCCAATTATTACTGGAAGTGGACCAATGAAACTGCAGAAGAATCATATGGAAGATTTCTTGACAATATTCTCACGCCCAACCGAGATTACAACGACACTTATTCCAAGTTTAATGGATCGCTACCTGCGCCTCTTAAATGTCCCCATGTGGCATCCTGCAAAGGTGGCGTTGATTCAGAATGTCAGGAAGGATATTGTGGCACCCTGTGTGCAAGCTGCACTACTGATCACTATCATGGATTTAACACGTGCATAAAATGCCCCGATATGACAATCACTGTCCTCTCATCTGCCGGAGTGGTGATACTGTTTCTCGCGGTGTTCATGATGGTTCTTTGGGGCGACTCAAAGCATACTGATAATGACAGAACTGTCGCAGATGTCATCATGTCGTGCTTCAAGATTGTGTTGGGTTTTCATCAAGTTATCGCAGGGATTTTCTCAGCACTGACACGTGTTCGATGGCCGATAACTCTGATCACAATGGAAAAATATTTAAAATTTGTCGAAGGGAATATTTTGCAGTTTGCCCCTTTGAGTTGCATTTATCCTAGTTTTCGTTTGGATCCATTTCTAGAGTTTGCCCTAGCAGTAGCAGTCAACATCGTGGTTGTTTCCTTGATCCTGTTTTATCTACTTGCAAAGCAACGCTACATCAACAAAATGGAGATTGTTATGAGCGAAAAAGTGAACAAAATATCAAGCCTGAAGAAGTCGTGCTACCGAAATATATTCTTATTTCTTTTATTGTCATATCCAATGACAAGTAAGAAGATAATTCACATTCTACCGTTGCCTGGGGTTTGTTTAAACATGTGCTTTACCAAAGACAGAAACGACTGTATTTCCCTCCTGAGGGCCGATTACTCAGTCCATTGCTTTACCGCTCGACACAATGTCTTCTGGCGCATTGCTGCTACGTTTTCGCTGTACCCAATAGCCTTCCCGCTATTGGTGCTGCTACTCCTTTTCAAGTACCGGGATTCTCAAGTACATGCTGAAATCGCCTTTGCTTTGAGAGTGTATTTTGAAAACTACAAAAAGACATACTGGTTTTGGGAGATAGCTGAAATGTATTGGAAGCTAATGCTGATCTCGTTGATCCTTCTCTTTGAATCTGAAAGCCGCTCCCGTATCGGATTTTCCGTGGCCACAGCCAGTGCTTTTGGAATTGCCCACACCATCTTCCGTCCAATAAAAGGGAAATTTGAAGATCGCCTCCAGACGTACGCTTTGTGGGTAATATTCTTTGACGTTTGCCTTGGTGCAATTTATTCGCAGCCTGAAGTCAACGATGCTCGTAGTGAAAACGAATCCATCTTTGTCAATATCCTCTTTGTGTTCCTCAACAGCTCGGTACTGCTTGTAACCTTGGGTAAGTTTCAGTCTTTCTGTCTAGACAGATAGCAATTAGCTTATAACGTTTCGTAGATATCTCTGTAGCGAACATGAACAAGAATGGTTCAGGGTCCATTGTCCAAAGCCCACGTTAAATGAACACCCTTCAGTTTCTATATTTACACAACTGTACAGTACTGAGGACGGGTGAAGAAGCAAGAAATTAAGAGAAATTCTGTCGCCCTAAGGTTTTTCTTTCTGTTGTTTATTTTCCTCTACTGTTAAGGACGTTAATCCCGGTGTGCTACTGACTCAATATAAAAGTCAAAACAGAAATGTCACTTAGATTGCCATATCATAACTTTATTTGATGCTTTTTATTCCACGTATATGTTATTTCAAATCTTATTGCGATTGCTTTTTTCTCTCTTCCGACAAATGGTGGAAGTCTATGTGACAAGGAAATGTTAAGTCCCGCTACTTATCATCAATCTTGTACCTTTCTTTAACCGTAATGTGTCCAAATGTGTGATTCTGACCAGTTGTATTTCTCGCGCAATGAATAGCGACATAGATCAACTTATTTATATAAACATCCTTGTTTGCCTTTTCTAGGGAAGGGTGTTCTCCATATGCGACACTTCTGCGGAAATGTTACTGCTTGCTTTGGACGATGCTTCCAGGTTCTTTGTCAAAGCTGCAGGGATCTAAAGAGAAAAGCAATTCGCCAAAGGCAGGATTTGGTATCAGTGTCTCCTTCAGAGGTTTCTATCGAAGAACTTATCCAGCAACCAATATGACAAATTTAAGGGATTTAAAGCTCAAAACTCTTTTGTGGTCCTGGTTGTGAAGAAAGCTGTTTAGACTGCACTTTATCGAATTTTAGCTAAGCCAGGGGAGAGCTGTCAAGGACTTTAAACGATACTAAAAGTAGTTTCAACTGCATGTTCGCATTTACCATGTAACCTAAATATCTTTATATATATATATATAAACGCAGAAGATTCCTCTCCGACACATAATAGCTATAATCCTTCTGCATTGAAATGTCTGTACTCAGACCACATCATAGTCGCCCCTCCCCTACCCTCATTCGACGTTGTTTTGAACTGAAAATAAAGCATACAATTGTTGTGATATCCAATGCTACATTGCCAGAGGGGAGGGAGATAACCATCATTCATTTAAAAACAATTTCGGTTTTGATCAGTATTTTTCAAACGTTTCTCAATTATAGTTTTGTCCAGGGCTGTAGCCGCCAAAGTAGCTCCATCTGACGAAGTTGACCGCACGCGGGTGGAGGGTCGGGCTGGGGATACAGCTTAGGGACTGGCCTACCTCTGATGGTTTGCTGGGGGCCAGCTGTGAAAAGCATCGGGAAGGGTAGGGTGTCTTTTACCGACACCTTCACTTAGCTAAACTTGAGTTTCCAGTGTTAAATAACGTTGATTCTGACTGTGTCTCGGCACTTTGATAAGTTGTTTAACAATTCTTGAGGGTTCTGTGTTGACAACGGACCTTGCTTGAGAGGCACATAATACGTGAATGCGTGACGAGCTAATCGTCTAGCTAGCGGGTGGTACTTGGGCCCCTGGGACTTTCTTTGAGTCTTTGTGGGTATCTATTTGCGATATATGTAGGAAAGCTAGTGGGCTTATTAGCAGAAACAAGACGCTTATGATTGCCTGTAACGTAACAGGTCTAAACACATTTTATTCTGAATTGTTAAAAATCTGGACCTTCTACGTATAGAATAAGCAAGCATATAAGCAAAAACATGTGTTACATAGCCACTGCAACAGTAACATGTCCCCCTCTCCTCCGCCTCGCGATTTGTCAGCCCTACCGTTTTTTCTAAGGCAGCTGAGACGAAAACTTCAGAAAACTGTGGATCTCTACTACGGGTAACGTATAATTTTGAAAACATGAAAATGCTGCAACGAAACAATACTACGCTTCTTAATTGAGAGAATTCATTACTACGCTTCTTAATTGTTCAGTAAACTTTAAGAAAAATCTTAAAACAAAGATGCTTAACGAGTTTTTGAAACAAGAATAGTGCTTTTTAATTCATTGTATTTACAATGAATTGTAAATAAGGTTGTTTGTTTACAAAACTACTTCTCCCTCCAGACAGGTCCACATAACTTGATCTTGATTGTAGAGTTCACCTCTGAAATAGACGGTTCCCTGATAGGTTTGTAAAAAATAAAATGACCAAAAACAGGTTAGAAGCTGTATCAGTAGCCGAGAGATACGGCACTTAATATTACTCGTCGTGTGTCATTAGCAAAACTCTGCGTGGTTTAAAATTATAAAATTTATATTTAGAGAGAAAGCAACCTCAACCCTCGGAGCAAGGCGAGAACCAACAACAAATTGACCCAACATATGGCACCGGGCCGGAATCGAACATGATCCACGTTTGTGGGAGGCGAGCGCTCTCTCATGATTGTTTTTGTGTACCAGTACCAAGCCAGCGAAATATCTGGTCCCAAAATTTTCTTTTAAGGTATCAGGATACCCCAAATGTCCACCATTCGTTGGCGCCGCTTTACGGTCGGACGTTTCATGCAAACCCAAGTAAAGTGCATTGTCTAAAAGCTTAAGAATTGTAGATTACGAAAGTATATTTAATTAGTCAGATAAAAAAAAGTTAAGGTGTTCCGAAAATCGCGCCCTATTTCCCAAAGTACAGAGGTTCACTAATCAAGTTCGTTTCCGGTCGGATTTGACCGGGAGAACGCGATCAACTTCTTGACACCTTTCTCTTAAAAACGGGAAATTTTAATTACTTGTCTGGTTTGTTTTTGACGGGCAGTTAAACTTTGACTTTTGATAAAACATGCATTCTCCTCACGAAAATAATCATAACTTTTGAAAGAAGCAAACTTCCCCAACAGGTTTTTTTGCCTGATTATCGGGCAACATTCTCTCCAAATTTCAGCGAAAAACGTTGAAAACTCGCCGGAAACGAACTCCAAATGTGTGCCTCACTCACTGAAATTTTCTGTTTCTTTCTTTTGATTTTTATAACGCCTCAGCTTAGGCGTAGACAACGAAAGAGCCCACTCGTAAACAACATGAAGGAAACTCACGAGATACTGATTCAGTTGATACTGTTTATACTGCTTCGAACGGTGAAAGCGCCAAGGAAGTAAGACAAGTAATGCTTAGAAAATTTCAAGCGTCTTCCTCGTCCAGTGCAAGCAACTTCTCCTGCTCGAAGCAGGAACCTTTGTCGCTAGAAGCTAACGCACCAGCCCAATTCTGATCGAATGTTTTTGAAACCTTTTTCCCCGAATTTTTCCTCTGTGGTGCTTTCTTCGTACTTGCAAATGGACATGAGCTTTTGCGTTTCTTCGACGGCATATTTAAACTTAAATCAACAATCTACAAACGGAGAACACCGAGATAAGCTCGTCGAATATAACAAACATGAACGATTGGTAATCTTTCATACCTGGCAATCTGTCACGCAACCTTTAATGCAAATTTAGTTCTTGTGAAAACCCGTTGACAGCTATCAATTGGAGATAATTATGCAAAGAAACGTTTTTCGTTTGTAACTTTGCATGGTATCAATCTTTTTTCATAGACTTCTTTTAAATGAACGATCGCAATAAGATCTATCTAAAACAGCGAGAAACCTTTTTATTGAAAAGTGGTCAATTTTGAGGTATACTGATACTTTAAGACGAATATTGACAAATCCTTTTCAAACGGGAACACTTAGTCCGCACCATGCGCAGACGTGCATGTAATTCTCAGTCGCGCTTTAGAAACTACATTAAAATCATAATGCACTAAAAACATAAACCGTGAAAAACAAAATGACGTTATTTTAAAATAAGCTTTGGATAAAACGCAAAACGATCTAAAAATAAATCAGTAAATAATAATAGCAATAATAATAATAATAATAATAATAATTATAATAACAACAACAACAAAAACAACAACAACGGCGGCGGCAGCGGCGGTGGTGGCGGTGGTGGCGGCGGTGGTCGTGGTGGTGGTGGTAGAAGTAGTCTGACGTCAACACGCTACCTCGAATGGCTGATATAGCCCTCGCAATAGATCGTTTTCATGTGACGTCATCATTTTCTAAAATCGAAAACTTAAGAGCCACCAAAGTTTTTATCCCCGTCAGGCATAAGAGTGGGTAAATTTATATCTGTTTACAATGTTGCGGCTCAGTAGCGTGCTTCGTTTGAAAATCAGCGTATTTTGAATTTCAGAGTTATGGCGGTGCGTGACACAAAGCTACAATCGCATTTGTCGAAAAAATGTTTACCTGTCTCATGATTTTTAGCTTTTTTAGAAGTTAGATGCACCAACATGGCGTTTCCACACTAGGCTCTAAATTTCTGCGAAACATTTCGACAAATATCTGTAGTCTGGGAAAACGCACAAGCCTAAAACTTGGAGAAGAGTCTTCTCTATCTATTTTCTATAAGATCACAATTTCTTAACCTTATCCACTGGATGAATTTCGATTTATTTTTTTAATGCCTGACAGAGAAAATGATCTACAGGCCAAAGCTAGCTGTCGCTGCATAATCTCGTGAGCGCATAACGTGTCTATGTATGATATTTATCGTATCAGAGTATAAAAGACGTAGCGACTGGCATTTTATTCTTTAAATATGACATTGATTACTGTACCTTTAAGCCAGGAGGACTAGCTCTAATACGGTCGTTGCTATATGTCAAGGTATAGGTTTCTAAGCAAAACAAAAACACAAAACAAACAAGCAACGTATGATTTCTTGGAAACTCGCTCTGTCGAGTTAATAGAAGGAAATAGTTAAGAAGACCGGTAAACATCAAAGAAGCAAACAAACAGGCTAAGATTTATGTTGGAAGGTCCTTGACCCTGCACATCTTTTATTTTATGCTCATAAACTATGCATGAATTACACAATCACAACGCTTCTATTCGTTAGTTGTATGAGCACACATAAGGAAGTGTCTAATCAGTGCGGGTCGCGGGTAAACAGAGCGGGTCGCAAATACTAAACTACCCAGTGATGTACAAAATAACTAGAAATCTAGCTCTTATTACCTTGGTTAAGAAGACTTTCTTTTCGGTTATAAATACAGTCACGCACCGTGTTTAATGTTAACGTTGAATGAAATTTAGGGATCTTTTTATGAACGCTTCTTTAAACACAAGCTAACCCATCGAAAAGGAACTGTTGTGGATTCGTGAGCGAGGTTGGTGTTTGCCCGATTAACTTTTTAAAAACAGAACAAATAAAGCTAACTTGGTACATTCCAACTACGTTTTGAGTGAACAAGTTCGAGTTATGAGGCACTCTTCTATTGGTAAGCCATCCCCTATCGTGGATTCAGTTACTGACAATTTGTCAGCCACAATACTACATCATTGGGTAGTTTAACATTTTCAAAATACTTTAATGACTTTGATTTATCGCCACTCACTTTATTCTGATGAATAGTTCAACTGATGGGACAGCCTGGGAACACTTAACCTTTGCAGCAGTGATTTCTGGTTTGTGAGAGAGCGTAAAGGGCTTTGGAAAGAAAACACGTCTACGTACGCTGGGGTGCGCTTAATTTTAACCGTTTTTAAACCAGAGGGCGAGTGACAAGCATAAACTGTCCTATTGGTACTCAAACGGGGCTACTGATAACCATTCACGCACGAAAATTTTGTTATAGTTTTCATTACACGGGAAATATCGAGAAAATCCGGTTGACGGATACGGCTTGCTTTCAAATTTTCAAATACGGGTTGAACCAGCAAAGCGGTGTCTTACTCGGCTTAACATTAATTTCTAGTTCCTCAATATTATAAAAGCGAAGGAATTGAAGGCCGTGCAAAAGTTAATATTAACTACCATTTGCTCGGACATAAAATACTAAAACACATAGAGCGAATTTTACTACGACAATGCACTTAACTCACGACATCTTACTGCATGAGACACTGTCTTAGTTAAGCCGCGACCCGCGTTGATTAGACACTCCCCGCACATAAAAACCTTTTGTATTTTCCCAGCTTTTGTGCGGGGTCAACCCCCAAAATAGTCAACAAAACATACAACAAAGATCTTTGCCAGGTTTCTTAATCATTTCCTTCATTAACTATGGTCGAGTTAAATCCTACAATTAAAATACCTAAGAGTGAACACTTGTAAATGCGATCACCGCTGAGTGGACTGGAACGCCCGCTCTATGATTTGTTAAAACTGGCAGAATACTCGGGTCGTTGTCAAGTGGCTGTAGCGGAAGCGTACATATGAAGAGTATAAGGCCATTAATGGGAAGAGAATGCGCTATAAAGTACGAGAATAGGATCATCTTTGCAGGTGTCAGATTCAGTTTTTCTCCTGAGAGGGAACAAGTTCGTCAATGGAGCATCTTTACTTGCTACCATGCTACCAAGAAAAACATGATCATCATCTTATGTTGCTAACCAACATAGTTTTCGTCCACCACTTTTTATTGACATTCGAGTTTCTACAAATACTTAGAATGTCGAATGGTACTGCGAACATCTCTGTCAATATTAATTTTTACAATTAACTGCAGAATTTCTCGGGCGCTCATTGGCTAATTTTCAAGGTCAAAAGGCGGACAGACAGTACACATCAATTTGTAATTTATGTTGACACAAGGAGAGAGAGCGGACAATTTGACACCTTTTTATGGTAAAAGGCAAATTGGCGTCAGTTTTTCATGCGTCTGTTCCGTTACTGGCAACAAATTTTGTCATAACATTGTCAAAGTAGTCTGCGCATCTACAGCTACTTTGACAATATTATGAAGAAATTCATGATCAATAACAGGACAGACGCATGAGAAACTGACGTAAATTTGTTAAATAGCGCTTCGTCTCCCCCATTTCCACTCCCCACAACGAAAGATTACGACAATACTTACCTCCTGCTGCTAAATTACAAATTTGAGGCCATTTATTGCATTGAATGTTCGGTGCTCCTCTGGATATGACGTGTCCGTCGTTTTTTGAGATCAGTTCGAACTGCAGTGTCGATGAAAAGATGTCTACAACTATTACCCAAGAAAAATGCCAAACGTTTAGCAATGATATAAAACTTTTATATGACGTGCTTATTCCTACTAACTTGGCAAATATAGTNGAATCTTTCACGTAAATGTTCTTAGCTATAACGAAAGCCCAACTATCATAACGCAGAAGATTCCTCTCCGACACATAATAGCTATAATCCTTCTGCATTGAAATGTCTGTACTCAGACCACATCATAGTCGCCCCTCCCCTACCCTCATTCGACGTTGTTTTGAACTGAAAATAAAGCATACAATTGTTGTGATATCCAATGCTACATTGCCAGAGGGGAGGGAGATAACCATCATTCATTTAAAAACAATTTCGGTTTTGATCAGTATTTTTCAAACGTTTCTCAATTATAGTTTTGTCCAGGGCTGTAGCCGCCAAAGTAGCTCCATCTGACGAAGTTGACCGCACGCGGGTGGAGGGTCGGGCTGGGGATACAGCTTAGGGACTGGCCTACCTCTGATGGTTTGCTGGGGGCCAGCTGTGAAAAGCATCGGGAAGGGTAGGGTGTCTTTTACCGACACCTTCACTTAGCTAAACTTGAGTTTCCAGTGTTAAATAACGTTGATTCTGACTGTGTCTCGGCACTTTGATAAGTTGTTTAACAATTCTTGAGGGTTCTGTGTTGACAACGGACCTTGCTTGAGAGGCACATAATACGTGAATGCGTGACGAGCTAATCGTCTAGCTAGCGGGTGGTACTTGGGCCCCTGGGACTTTCTTTGAGTCTTTGTGGGTATCTATTTGCGATATATGTAGGAAAGCTAGTGGGCTTATTAGCAGAAACAAGACGCTTATGATTGCCTGTAACGTAACAGGTCTAAACACATTTTATTCTGAATTGTTAAAAATCTGGACCTTCTACGTATAGAATAAGCAAGCATATAAGCAAAAACATGTGTTACATAGCCACTGCAACAGTAACATGTCCCCCTCTCCTCCGCCTCGCGATTTGTCAGCCCTACCGTTTTTTCTAAGGCAGCTGAGACGAAAACTTCAGAAAACTGTGGATCTCTACTACGGGTAACGTATAATTTTGAAAACATGAAAATGCTGCAACGAAACAATACTACGCTTCTTAATTGAGAGAATTCATTACTACGCTTCTTAATTGTTCAGTAAACTTTAAGAAAAATCTTAAAACAAAGATGCTTAACGAGTTTTTGAAACAAGAATAGTGCTTTTTAATTCATTGTATTTACAATGAATTGTAAATAAGGTTGTTTGTTTACAAAACTACTTCTCCCTCCAGACAGGTCCACATAACTTGATCTTGATTGTAGAGTTCACCTCTGAAATAGACGGTTCCCTGATAGGTTTGTAAAAAATAAAATGACCAAAAACAGGTTAGAAGCTGTATCAGTAGCCGAGAGATACGGCACTTAATATTACTCGTCGTGTGTCATTAGCAAAACTCTGCGTGGTTTAAAATTATAAAATTTATATTTAGAGAGAAAGCAACCTCAACCCTCGGAGCAAGGCGAGAACCAACAACAAATTGACCCAACATATGGCACCGGGCCGGAATCGAACATGATCCACGTTTGTGGGAGGCGAGCGCTCTCTCATGATTGTTTTTGTGTACCAGTACCAAGCCAGCGAAATATCTGGTCCCAAAATTTTCTTTTAAGGTATCAGGATACCCCAAATGTCCACCATTCGTTGGCGCCGCTTTACGGTCGGACGTTTCATGCAAACCCAAGTAAAGTGCATTGTCTAAAAGCTTAAGAATTGTAGATTACGAAAGTATATTTAATTAGTCAGATAAAAAAAAGTTAAGGTGTTCCGAAAATCGCGCCCTATTTCCCAAAGTACAGAGGTTCACTAATCAAGTTCGTTTCCGGTCGGATTTGACCGGGAGAACGCGATCAACTTCTTGACACCTTTCTCTTAAAAACGGGAAATTTTAATTACTTGTCTGGTTTGTTTTTGACGGGCAGTTAAACTTTGACTTTTGATAAAACATGCATTCTCCTCACGAAAATAATCATAACTTTTGAAAGAAGCAAACTTCCCCAACAGGTTTTTTTGCCTGATTATCGGGCAACATTCTCTCCAAATTTCAGCGAAAAACGTTGAAAACTCGCCGGAAACGAACTCCAAATGTGTGCCTCACTCACTGAAATTTTCTGTTTCTTTCTTTTGATTTTTATAACGCCTCAGCTTAGGCGTAGACAACGAAAGAGCCCACTCGTAAACAACATGAAGGAAACTCACGAGATACTGATTCAGTTGATACTGTTTATACTGCTTCGAACGGTGAAAGCGCCAAGGAAGTAAGACAAGTAATGCTTAGAAAATTTCAAGCGTCTTCCTCGTCCAGTGCAAGCAACTTCTCCTGCTCGAAGCAGGAACCTTTGTCGCTAGAAGCTAACGCACCAGCCCAATTCTGATCGAATGTTTTTGAAACCTTTTTCCCCGAATTTTTCCTCTGTGGTGCTTTCTTCGTACTTGCAAATGGACATGAGCTTTTGCGTTTCTTCGACGGCATATTTAAACTTAAATCAACAATCTACAAACGGAGAACACCGAGATAAGCTCGTCGAATATAACAAACATGAACGATTGGTAATCTTTCATACCTGGCAATCTGTCACGCAACCTTTAATGCAAATTTAGTTCTTGTGAAAACCCGTTGACAGCTATCAATTGGAGATAATTATGCAAAGAAACGTTTTTCGTTTGTAACTTTGCATGGTATCAATCTTTTTTCATAGACTTCTTTTAAATGAACGATCGCAATAAGATCTATCTAAAACAGCGAGAAACCTTTTTATTGAAAAGTGGTCAATTTTGAGGTATACTGATACTTTAAGACGAATATTGACAAATCCTTTTCAAACGGGAACACTTAGTCCGCACCATGCGCAGACGTGCATGTAATTCTCAGTCGCGCTTTAGAAACTACATTAAAATCATAATGCACTAAAAACATAAACCGTGAAAAACAAAATGACGTTATTTTAAAATAAGCTTTGGATAAAACGCAAAACGATCTAAAAATAAATCAGTAAATAATAATAGCAATAATAATAATAATAATAATAATAATTATAATAACAACAACAACAAAAACAACAACAACGGCGGCGGCAGCGGCGGTGGTGGCGGTGGTGGCGGCGGTGGTCGTGGTGGTGGTGGTAGAAGTAGTCTGACGTCAACACGCTACCTCGAATGGCTGATATAGCCCTCGCAATAGATCGTTTTCATGTGACGTCATCATTTTCTAAAATCGAAAACTTAAGAGCCACCAAAGTTTTTATCCCCGTCAGGCATAAGAGTGGGTAAATTTATATCTGTTTACAATGTTGCGGCTCAGTAGCGTGCTTCGTTTGAAAATCAGCGTATTTTGAATTTCAGAGTTATGGCGGTGCGTGACACAAAGCTACAATCGCATTTGTCGAAAAAATGTTTACCTGTCTCATGATTTTTAGCTTTTTTAGAAGTTAGATGCACCAACATGGCGTTTCCACACTAGGCTCTAAATTTCTGCGAAACATTTCGACAAATATCTGTAGTCTGGGAAAACGCACAAGCCTAAAACTTGGAGAAGAGTCTTCTCTATCTATTTTCTATAAGATCACAATTTCTTAACCTTATCCACTGGATGAATTTCGATTTATTTTTTTAATGCCTGACAGAGAAAATGATCTACAGGCCAAAGCTAGCTGTCGCTGCATAATCTCGTGAGCGCATAACGTGTCTATGTATGATATTTATCGTATCAGAGTATAAAAGACGTAGCGACTGGCATTTTATTCTTTAAATATGACATTGATTACTGTACCTTTAAGCCAGGAGGACTAGCTCTAATACGGTCGTTGCTATATGTCAAGGTATAGGTTTCTAAGCAAAACAAAAACACAAAACAAACAAGCAACGTATGATTTCTTGGAAACTCGCTCTGTCGAGTTAATAGAAGGAAATAGTTAAGAAGACCGGTAAACATCAAAGAAGCAAACAAACAGGCTAAGATTTATGTTGGAAGGTCCTTGACCCTGCACATCTTTTATTTTATGCTCATAAACTATGCATGAATTACACAATCACAACGCTTCTATTCGTTAGTTGTATGAGCACACATAAGGAAGTGTCTAATCAGTGCGGGTCGCGGGTAAACAGAGCGGGTCGCAAATACTAAACTACCCAGTGATGTACAAAATAACTAGAAATCTAGCTCTTATTACCTTGGTTAAGAAGACTTTCTTTTCGGTTATAAATACAGTCACGCACCGTGTTTAATGTTAACGTTGAATGAAATTTAGGGATCTTTTTATGAACGCTTCTTTAAACACAAGCTAACCCATCGAAAAGGAACTGTTGTGGATTCGTGAGCGAGGTTGGTGTTTGCCCGATTAACTTTTTAAAAACAGAACAAATAAAGCTAACTTGGTACATTCCAACTACGTTTTGAGTGAACAAGTTCGAGTTATGAGGCACTCTTCTATTGGTAAGCCATCCCCTATCGTGGATTCAGTTACTGACAATTTGTCAGCCACAATACTACATCATTGGGTAGTTTAACATTTTCAAAATACTTTAATGACTTTGATTTATCGCCACTCACTTTATTCTGATGAATAGTTCAACTGATGGGACAGCCTGGGAACACTTAACCTTTGCAGCAGTGATTTCTGGTTTGTGAGAGAGCGTAAAGGGCTTTGGAAAGAAAACACGTCTACGTACGCTGGGGTGCGCTTAATTTTAACCGTTTTTAAACCAGAGGGCGAGTGACAAGCATAAACTGTCCTATTGGTACTCAAACGGGGCTACTGATAACCATTCACGCACGAAAATTTTGTTATAGTTTTCATTACACGGGAAATATCGAGAAAATCCGGTTGACGGATACGGCTTGCTTTCAAATTTTCAAATACGGGTTGAACCAGCAAAGCGGTGTCTTACTCGGCTTAACATTAATTTCTAGTTCCTCAATATTATAAAAGCGAAGGAATTGAAGGCCGTGCAAAAGTTAATATTAACTACCATTTGCTCGGACATAAAATACTAAAACACATAGAGCGAATTTTACTACGACAATGCACTTAACTCACGACATCTTACTGCATGAGACACTGTCTTAGTTAAGCCGCGACCCGCGTTGATTAGACACTCCCCGCACATAAAAACCTTTTGTATTTTCCCAGCTTTTGTGCGGGGTCAACCCCCAAAATAGTCAACAAAACATACAACAAAGATCTTTGCCAGGTTTCTTAATCATTTCCTTCATTAACTATGGTCGAGTTAAATCCTACAATTAAAATACCTAAGAGTGAACACTTGTAAATGCGATCACCGCTGAGTGGACTGGAACGCCCGCTCTATGATTTGTTAAAACTGGCAGAATACTCGGGTCGTTGTCAAGTGGCTGTAGCGGAAGCGTACATATGAAGAGTATAAGGCCATTAATGGGAAGAGAATGCGCTATAAAGTACGAGAATAGGATCATCTTTGCAGGTGTCAGATTCAGTTTTTCTCCTGAGAGGGAACAAGTTCGTCAATGGAGCATCTTTACTTGCTACCATGCTACCAAGAAAAACATGATCATCATCTTATGTTGCTAACCAACATAGTTTTCGTCCACCACTTTTTATTGACATTCGAGTTTCTACAAATACTTAGAATGTCGAATGGTACTGCGAACATCTCTGTCAATATTAATTTTTACAATTAACTGCAGAATTTCTCGGGCGCTCATTGGCTAATTTTCAAGGTCAAAAGGCGGACAGACAGTACACATCAATTTGTAATTTATGTTGACACAAGGAGAGAGAGCGGACAATTTGACACCTTTTTATGGTAAAAGGCAAATTGGCGTCAGTTTTTCATGCGTCTGTTCCGTTACTGGCAACAAATTTTGTCATAACATTGTCAAAGTAGTCTGCGCATCTACAGCTACTTTGACAATATTATGAAGAAATTCATGATCAATAACAGGACAGACGCATGAGAAACTGACGTAAATTTGTTAAATAGCGCTTCGTCTCCCCCATTTCCACTCCCCACAACGAAAGATTACGACAATACTTACCTCCTGCTGCTAAATTACAAATTTGAGGCCATTTATTGCATTGAATGTTCGGTGCTCCTCTGGATATGACGTGTCCGTCGTTTTTTGAGATCAGTTCGAACTGCAGTGTCGATGAAAAGATGTCTACAACTATTACCCAAGAAAAATGCCAAACGTTTAGCAATGATATAAAACTTTTATATGACGTGCTTATTCCTACTAACTTGGCAAATATAGTAATGTTTCTGTGCAGTCTTTACGCGCAGCCTCTAAGGTTCACTATCACCTGTATTTTACAGTTCCCTACCTAATGATGAGACTTGAACTTTTTTCCTCACACTGATAGACTCCTCGCACAAACTCCTCTCAACTCCTCTATATTGAGGACAATTTTGGCAAGAGATAAAGGATTACAGGACCGTGGATATATTGTCATCTAACGTCTCCGTTGGAGACGTTAGATGTATATGAAATATTTTTTGGGAAAAAAAAGAGTATCGATCATATTGATAAATCAGTTGAAATTTAGGGTGATAAAGCGAGGATTCCCTCCGGAATAAGGCAGTTACATTGTTTGACATTTTAAAGAACCATGTCATCAGACCTACCAGGTGTGAAAGAGACCGTGATATTCACTGGTTTACCGGGCTTCAGCTCGGGCCATGGTGTCATTTTGCACTTGAGGGTTTTGTCTGGCGGTCCTGTAAAAGTATAAGAAAATCATCCTGTTAACCACACAGCCATTAACAACACACGGAGTGAGTTAGCGGGCATAGAGCAACTGCTAATAATTACTAAAAGATACAACGACTTTTTGCTTATGAAACAGATGACCAGCGTGGAAATTTGGCTTTTTGGATTTTGAGGTCAGTCACGAACACAGCCCTGTTGTATGTTACGACTCCGATCCGTGCATAAAGTACATTTTAATCGAGTCGCCATATGGCTACACTAAACCTAGAAGAATGAGTGATGCCCAAGTTTTGCGTAAGATGTCAATGGATTTACACAGAAAGTGTCAAATTTAGTATTACAACTTTTTTTTTGCTTATTTTGACAGTGCTCGTCTGATTCCAAGAGATTATGATAACTGACCATGCATATAACTGACTCTTACCGCAATATCTTAGATATTTGACTTCATATCCAACGGACAGTAGAACACAGACTGAGAGGTAAATGAAAATCAGGCGCTGACTGTTCGATGGCATGCTTCAAAGAAGATCAGGATGCCTAACAACAAAACACAGTCGTGATCAGCACAAAGGGACATGTACTTCAAAATCTTTGAACATTACTCGAAAGTGGGGCCTTTCCTTACTTTGACAAACACGAAAACACAATTTGACGTAATCTATTGTCTATAAAAGGATTAACCCAGCCATACTATATGAGGATTATAAGGATTAAGTTCTTCCTACTGGCACCCTATTTGCATGCATGTAGATATTTATATATTTGATGCATATATATTTGATACAATAAAGTTATTATTTAACAAATAAAGAAGCCTCGACTGTGCTCTGTTCTGTCGTAAAGCACGCAGGAAGAGGTAGAGCACGAAAGAAGTGTAGGAGAAAACACGAGACGTAGTCGAGTGTTTTTCCCTACTTCTTAAGTGCTCTACCGCTTCCTTAGTGCTTTACAACAGAACATAGCACAATCGAGGCTTCTTTACATGTTTTATGATAAAGAATCCGATAATTTCCCCACGCATTCGGCTGAATTCTCAAACCAAACTTTATTTTCCAAACGAGCAAAAGTGGCGTCAGTCGTGCACTGTTCTTTGATAAAGCACGCTAAAATAAGCCAATCACAATCCTTTTTAGAATTGTTCAAATAATTTGATTGGCTAACGAAGCGACAGCTGTCAATT